TATTCAACAAGAAAGAGACTACTTTCAAGAAGACGATTTAATTTCTTCTTTAATTGAAAGTTATATTTTTAAACCCCCTATTAGATATTAGTTTTATTTGTCTGATTGTCTTTATCTATCTTCTCATTTTACTTGACCTATTTAGGATTTTAATAGTAATTGCTAGGATTATTTGGTTGCAATTCTTGCTTTGTTGATTGTGTATGAAGTAGTAATTGTGTGTGTGTTTTTAATCTCTTATCCTCTAGTTTGGTTGTTGTATATCATAGTTGGATTTAAAGTTATGATGTGTAAACATTTTATTTTGATAATAACTATACCATATGGAAAATCAATTTATTGGTATTATGGAATTTTCAGAAATTCATATGAAGCATCAACCTTCGGCTAAAAAAAGAAAAACCCCACTATAATAACATGTTCTTTAAAATGAGCATCATGAATTTTATATATCATGAATTTTATATTGTAAAACTCGTCGAGCACGAATTCGGTGAATATTTAATTCAAAATACAAACCAAAAATGCTCTCTGTTGACTGCTGAGTGACCGAAACTATGCACAGCCTGTTAATATTCTGATGAACCAAAATGAGAGAATATTGAGAGAAAGAGGAAAAGATGAACAGAAATCAGAAAACTCAAAATGAATGAATGAAAATGGCTGTGTTCACTGTACATGCCCTTATATACTTGGGCCAAATAGACAAAATAACCTAAACCTAAAAGGAATAAATGGTATTTACAATATGACTTGTACTGAAAGCTTAATAACTTGTACATATTCTATTACCCCCCCTCAAGATGAACATGAATGTTTTTCAAGTTCATCTTGGAACATAAAGTTAAAAAAAGTGGAGAACAAAGTGGTTTTGTGAAAATGTCTGCCAGTTGATCCTTGGATGGTATGTGAGCAAGGGAGACTGTGCCTTGGTTGATCTTTTCTCTTATTAGGTGGCAATCCAATTCAATATGCTTTGTCCTCTCATGAAAAACTGGGTTAGTAGCAATGGATATAGCAGATTTACTGTCTGAAAAAGTGCAAACAGGAGAGTCATGAGAAATGTTGAAATCATTTAGTAAGTATAAAAGCCACTGAGCTTCACAGGTAGCATGAGCAAGTGCTCTATACTCAGCCTCAGCTGAGGATTTGCTAACTGTGGCTTGCTTTTTGGATTTCCAAGAAATTAAAGAGTTGCCTAAGAAAAAAGCAAAACCAGAAACACTTCTCCTTGTATCAATGCAACCAGCCCAATCAGAATCACTATAACCAGTAAGGCATAAAGAAGATGATCTGGGATAGAATATACCTTGGCCAGCTGTTTGTTTGAGGTACCTTAATATCCTGTGAGCTGCAGTGAGATGTTGCTGGGTGGGTTGTACCATGAATTGACTAAGACTTTGCACACTATAAGAGATGTCAGGTCTAGTGATAGTTAAATAAAGCAACCTACCAATCAACCTTCTGTAAGCAGTGGCATCAACCAAGGGATCATTGTTGTTAGATGATGTCAATTTAAGGTTAGCATCCATTGGAGTTGAAACAGGTTTACTGCCCAAATATCCAGTATCATTTAAAATATCTAGGGCATATTTTCTTTGACATATATTAATGCCTGTATGAGACTGAGCAACTTCCAGGCCTAATATATATCTAAGTTTGCCTAAGTCTTTAATAGTGAAGCAGTTATCCAAATGGGTTTTTATGGCAGTGATTTCAGAAAGATTGTTACCAGCTAAAATGACATCATCCACATAGACAAGTAAAGCAAGAAAAGAATTCTGAGATTTCTTAATGAACAAAGAACAGTCAGCCACAGATTGAGAGAAACCATAGTCAAGTAGACACTGAGTAAGTTTGGAAAACCATTGTCTTGATGCTTGCTTTAAACCATAAAGACTTTTGGTTAACTTACAAACCCTAGTGTCATTTTTCTGACAGTAACCAGGGGGAGGAGTCATATATACTTCCTCATCAAGGTCACCATGCAAGAATGCATTATTAACATCTAATTGATGCAAATGCCAGTTATGAATGGATGCTAAAGCAATTAAGAGTCTGACTGTAGTGATTTTTGCAACTGGACTAAAGGTGTCAAAGTAATCTATACCCTCTTCTTGAGTATAGCCCTTTGCAACCAATCTAGCCTTATATCTCTCTATTGAACCATCAGCCTTATACTTGATTTTATAAACCCATTTACAACCTATAGGGTGTTTACCATGTGGCAGGTCAGTTAAAAACCAGGTTTTAGTCTTTTCTAAAGCTGCTATTTCTTTATTCATAGCTTCCTGCCACATTGGGTCACCAGATGCTTGTTTATAGGTTTTTGGTTCAGTGTTGATTGTAATTGAAGTTGTAAAGCATGAGTGTTCAGTAGAGAGATTATCAGTTGATAAATGATTTTCAATTGGGTATAAAGATGATGTTCTAGAAATGTGTGAAGACTGAGAAGAGTTAGATGAAAAAGATTGGGATTGATGGGCATAGGCTTTTAGGTAAGCTGGTGTTGTTTTTGGTCTAGTGGATCTTCTGAGTTGGGATGATGTTGTAGGTTGATGTGTAGTTGTTGGTTGAGAGTCATTGGGTTGAGTGATAGTATTTGATGGTGGTGTGGGGTTTGACTGGAGAGTTGTTATATTCTGTTGGGTTGATGTGTTTAAGGGAGCAGGGATCAGAGATTGATTAAGTGGTTGGGAGTCCTGTTGGAAAATGAAATCAGTTGGTGCAGGAAAAATAGGATAATGTGTGTTATCAGGATAGTTGGTTTTGAAGGGAAAAACAGTCTCATAAAACACAACATTTCTAGAGATTAATATTTTCTTAGTATCTAAGTCATAAAGCTTATAGGCTTTATAACCCAAGGGATAACCAAGAAGTATGCATTTTGATGCTCTTTGAGAAAATTTGTGTCTATGAGAACTTAATGTTGATGCATAACAAAGACAGCCTATAGTTCTGAGATGATCTAGAGATGCAGGTTTGTCATAAAGCATGTGATAAGGAGATTTATCATGAAGAACTTTTGTGGGAATTCTATTGATTATATGCACAGCAGTTAAGATGCAGTCAATCCAGAAAGATAATGGCAAGTTAGCATGAAAGAGTAAAGCTCTGGCTACCTGAAGTATATGCTGGTGCTTCCTCTCAACCCTTGCATTTTGTTGTGGGGTTTCCACACAACTTCTTTGATGTAGAATACCATTGTTAGTGAAAAAATCATGTAATAAAAACTCTGTGCCATTGTCAGATCTCAAAACCTTGATTGATTTTGCAAATTGAGTTTTAACCATGTTATAAAAATGTGTCAAACTGGTTTTGGTATCTGACTTTTGGATAAGAGGATATACCCATGTTGTTCTAGTAAAATCATCCACAATTGTTAAAAAATACTTATGACCAGCATATGAAGGAACAGAAAATGGACCCCATACATCACAATGGATTAAATCAAAAGATGATTGAGCAGTAGTGGTACTGATTTCAAAAGGTAATTTTCTCTGTCTAGAAAAATGGCAAACATCACATGGTGCCTTATTGTTAGCAGAGTATTTGACAGATATGTGAAGTTGTTGAAGTTTGTGAAATGATAAATGGCCAAGTCTAGAGTGCCATATGTCATGGGATACAAGGTTATTTGAATCAGATACAGAGGTATTTATGCAGGATACATCAGTTGTATTGTAAGTAATATTGTTTCGGGAAGATGGTTCAAAATGATAGAGACCAGCTTTGACTTTAGCAAAACCAATCATTTTGAGAGTTGTCAAATCCTGCATAATGCATTGTGATGCAGAAAAGTTTAAAGTGCAATTGTTGGTGGAAGTCAACTTAGAAATGGAGATCAAGTTGATGTTAAAATGTGGAACATAGAGAGCTGTAGTTAATGTAACATGAGGGGATAAAGCAATGTCACCCATATGAGAAGCAACTGTGATATGACCATTAGGTAAATGAACAGGAATAGATACATGTTGCACATTAGAAGTAAATAGAGATAAGTCACAAATCATGTGATCAGATGCACCAGTATCAAGTATCCAAGTATATTTTTGTGTCACAGAATTAGCTAAGTAAAGAGCAAATGTACCTGAGGTACCTGATGGAGGAGCAGTGGCAGTAGCACAAGCATTTGCAATAGCAGTTGTTTGAGTAGTCAGAGATGTGTCAATCATGTTCTGAGATTGCTCATGAGATTTTTTAAAAGCTAAAAATTCATGAAAGAGATGGTCAGTCATGGAAGCATTGATATTATTAGAAGATTCATTTGGTGTGGATACCACAGAATTAGCAGAGTGCTTAGGATGAATTCTGGGACCACGAGGACCCTCCCAATTTGAGGGATAACCAACAACTTGATAACATTTGTCACTTGTGTGGCCGAGATAACCACAATGAAGGCATTTAGGTCGAGGTTTGTTGGGATCTCTGGAATAGGTTTTTGAGGTTTCAGTAGGTTTGTTGACATGTTTGTAAGGTTGTTTGGGTGGGAAATTTGTTCTGACAGCCATGGCCATAGGATCTAGAGATTTTGCAGTGGAGTGGAGAGCTCTCTGGCTTTCTTCTTGAAGCAAAAGGGAGTAGACTTTGGTTAGGGTTGGTAATGGTTGTGAGAGAAGAAAGTGTGATCTCAGGGCAGAGTAGGACTCATTTAGGCCGATGAGAAATTTGATAACCGAGTCAGTTTGTTGTGTATTGGCCATAGTATCAAAGATATTGCATGTGCAGGAGGCAAGAGCACCACAAGAACAACGAGGTATAGGTCTGAAAGATAGGTACTCATCCCAAAGGGTTTTGAAACTGTTGTAGTATTGGGTAATGGTCATTGAGCCTTGGTCCATGGTACTTAGTGATTTTTCGATTTGGAAAACACGAGGACCACTGCTCAATGCATACCGTGCCTTTAATTCTTCCCAAACATCTTTCGCATTAGAGAAAAACAACAGAGATTGTCGAATGTCTTTGGAAATGGAATTTAACAGCCAAGAGAGCACAAGATTATTAGCACGAGTCCAGGCAAGGAACTCATGGCTACTACCAGTAGAGATAGGAATAGAAACAGTACCATCCAGAAAGCCAAGTTTATTTTTGACGCTCAAAGCCATGGTTACCGCACGAGACCAGGAGGAATAGTTGGTGCCGTCAAACGCTTCGGCGACGATGATTGCGCCGGGATTATCGCTTGGATGTAGATAATACGGCAGATTTGGATCGTCGGTAAAATTGGGCGTTGAAGTAGTCATTGATCGTCAATTGGAGTCGAGAACAAGAGATTTGTGTACGATTGTAGAGATTACAACCGAAATCGTACAGATCGAGAAGAGATCGTACAGATCTAGGTTAGAACCTTACAGATCGAGAGCGAACAAAAAGAAAAAATAACGGCGTCTTCGGAGAGTGAAGACGAGAGATCGATGATGCAGCGAAAAAACGAAAATCAGATCGACGAGACGCCGGCGACTGATACCATGTTAATATTCTGATGAACCAAAATGAGAGAATATTGAGAGAAAGAGGAAAAGATGAACAGAAATCAGAAAACTCAAAATGAATGAATGAAAATGGCTGTGTTCACTGTACATGCCCTTATATACTTGGGCCAAATAGACAAAATAACCTAAACCTAAAAGGAATAAATGGTATTTACAATATGACTTGTACTGAAAGCTTAATAACTTGTACATATTCTATTACAGCCGAAAAAGAAAAAAAGGTAAGCGCATAGGTATCACAGAACTTCCGTGCACCCCCTGGATAACAGTAGACAAAACTCTTCCGCGGGCCCCACAACAACGAAAATATGTGGCTCAGGAAAAACAGCCCTTCGCTGACGTGGCACCCCAACTCGTCGTCGTTTATTTAGATTTGAAGGGATCAAAATCGTTTCATTCGCCATTGCCAAGTGCCAACGGAGCTCATCGGCTATCTTATTATTATAATTTTCAGAAAATATATATATTTGTTTATATATTCTGTTGGCTTCAATTTATTATTATTTTTTTTAATTTTAATTTTGGGTGTTATCGTGGAGGATGAAGGAATTGAAGGAGCCGGAGATAACCTTATTCGGCAGGAAGATTGTGTTGCCGGAGAACGACGTCGAGGACTCCTCCGGCAAAATTGACGGCGGCGATTGCGACCTATGTGAGGAAGCCAGCTGCGGAGGCAAAGGAGAGGAGGAAAAAGCTGAGGATGACAAGCGGCCGTTGATTGATGAGGTAATTTTGGGGGTTGTGAATTTTTACGCACACAGAAAATAGTGCTTAGAAGTTTTGTGTTTGATGTGTGCATATGATTGTCTATATATGGAGAAGGATTTGAAGATGCTCAAGTCAGTGAATAAATTGTTTTTTTTTTTTTCGGTAAATGAAAATTGGACCTTTTTTTTCAGCTCTGAATCTGCAAATATCTGGGTTTTATTGGGGGGTTTTGCAATCTTTCATGTTTAATTTTATTTTGAAGTATGAAATATTTGTGTTTAGCTTTGTTTTGGGTTAATTGCCTATTTTCTTCACCGGTGTGTTCTGCTTTCTGTTATCTCATGTCATTGATAAAAGAGGTAAACAAAAAGAATTGCAAAATTTTCACAAATCCAGAAGTTACTGTCAGGTTGATAAGACATATTTCAGAGCCTAGTTTTGATATTTTCTTCGTTTCAGATTAATCTGCATTTCATTTTCATATTGAAGCTTACAGTACTTGTAACCTTTCTCTGTTTAGTGAAAAATTTTCGCTTCTAATCTTTCTCATGAAGGTGGTTTAAACCCTGTCAATTTTCAATTATATTGTATAATCTTTGATTCCATTTCTTCTGGAAATGGGTTTTGCTCTGGATAGTTATGTACTGCTGTGATTCTGTATCGTATTTGATCTTAAGTGTTGCAATTTCTGTAAACCTTTAACTAAATTCACAATTTTGTGTGTGATTTTGATATGGTTAGCCTGCAATCAGAAATCCTAAAATTTATCATAAAATAGAGCTGCTTTAGTTCTTGGATTGCTCGACAATGGAAAATGTTACTAACCGAATGACAATGGAAATTGTTTGCTCGGAAATTTTTTCAGGACCAAATAGCAGAACAAACCGAAAAAAAGCCCCAAGAAGAAGAGGATCCATGCCCCAACGAATCAAAAGACACTAATTCCTCTTCCGGCCTAGACGAGACCCTCAAAACTTCTCCTGCCGATGAGGACACAGTCTCAGAGAACAACCACAAGCCCGAAACCGAACCAACCACAAACGGGCCTCAAAAGGCCCTCAAAAAGCCCGACAAAATCCTCCCCTGCCCGCGCTGCAACAGCATGGACACCAAATTCTGCTACTACAACAACTACAACGTGAACCAGCCACGCCACTTTTGCAAGAGCTGCCAGCGGTACTGGACAGCTGGCGGCACCATGAGGAATGTTCCGGTGGGCGCCGGCCGCCGTAAGACAAAGAGCTCCTCCGCCTCCTCCGATTGCCGCCACATCACAATCTCCGAGGCTCTTCAGGCCGCCGCCAGAGCCGATCCCTGTGGTGGTTACAAGCCCAACAGCACTGTTCTCTCATTTGGGCCTACTGGGCCTGGGCCCGACTCGCTGTTGTGTGAATCTATGGCCTCGGCCCTGAAACTCATAGACAAAAGAGCCCAAAACAGGGATGGGGATAGGAATAGGCCTGATGGAGTGGAAAACGGGCCTAGACAGCCCGTAATCCATAATATGAACGGGCTTCCTATTCCAGTCCCGTGCATCCCATGGAATTTTCCGGTGCCATTACCGGCGGTATGCCCAGTGCCCTTTTACCCGACAGCTTACTGGAATTTCAGTTTGCCCAACACATGGACTTATCCTTATCCATGGTTAAAGGCACAATCTTTATCCACAAATCAAAACGCGACAGGTGGATCGGGCCCAGGGTCCCCGCTCGGTAAGCATTCGAGAAATGGGGAGTTGCTTAATGCAAATGGTTTCGAAAATAAAGATAAATCAGAAATATCAATTGTGGTACCGAAAACTTTGAGGATAGACGATCCTGAGGAGGCTGCCAAGAGTTCTATATGGGAAACATTGGGGATTAAATACGACTCGGCTAATAGAGAGGGTCTTTTTAAGGCCTTGCAGCCGAAGGGTAAAGAGGGAAAAATTAAAGTCCGGGACTCGACTGTGATGCAGGCGAATCCTGCGGCTTTGTCTCGGTCAATCAGCTTTCAAGAGGGTGCTTGATTGATTAAAGGGATACATACTAATGCAAAGATGGTCGATTTTTTTCGGGGAAAAATGTGTCGTAATTTTAAATAACCTCGTATATCGGCTTCTTTCTTGCATAGTGTCTATTGATTTTCGATCCTTCTCTCATTTTTAGATCCATGTTCGTGTAACATTATGCGGGTGACTTGTTTTTTCTTTTAGCTGTGATGAGTGTGCTTGTTGTGTGTACATAAGTTTTGTAGGAAAAACACTGATAGATAGATTTGATTTTTATGGTATAACTATAAACTACCTCTTTTTTGCTGTTAACTTAGTTATCTGAGAAAAATCTTATCTGCTCTTTTTTTTTTTTCATATTCTTTATTAACTTCAAAATGAGTTGTGCCCCTTTTGTTCCTTTTCTGAAAATGTACCCCCTTTTGGGAATTATGAAGATTTCTCATGCTGCAATGNAATGGTTTTTATCAATGTGGCAACTTGCAAGAGCGCAAGTTGCTTATTTCCTTTTAATAAACCTAACAGAGAGTGACCCACCAAAAAATAAAGATTAATATTTTAAAAGATACCTTTTTAGAGATTATTAATAATATCAATAAAAAATAGTCTAAAAGCAAAAGTGTCACCACCTCTCGCGAGATAGGCCACAAAAAAGACGAGGCTACAACTAGTTTATGCACATAATTATACTTTCTTGTTGAAAAAAAAAAATATGTATTTATTTTATAAATATTATTTATTTATGTTTTATTTTAAAATATACTTCATTTAAGTATAAAAATATACTTACATGTTAAAACAGTATGTTTGCTTAACTACGAGTCAGCGTAACAACAAAAATTACCAATTTAAATTTTAAGGAAACACAATTGGGGAAGTAAAATTTTACTGTAATATTGAGAAGAGAAAAATAAATTAACAATGCAACTTTTTGTGCTTACATATTTGAATTCATTGCATCATTACAAAATCATTTAATTATTATTCATTTTCTAACTTGTGATATCTTTCTCTCCACTCTTTGGGTACAAGTTTTTACCCCAAAAAAAAAATTAAATTACCCTAATGTCCAATAACCCCAATTATGTTCCTCAAATTTTACTTCATTAAATTTAGGAAAAATCCCATTGAAGGGGAAATAGGTGGCTAAATACCAGATTTACTATTTGAAGAGATAGGATTGATTTTTCCTACTCAGCACTCACTGAAAAATCAGTTTCTTTTTGGTTGTATCTCAACAGCTATACATACATACAGTTGGCACAAAATAAATGGAGGCCTCTTTTACCATAAGGTTTGTGATGAGAACTTTTTAGATTTTAAAATAATATAACACATTAAATGAAAAAAAAAAAANAGAAAAAAAAAAAAAAAAAAGTTTTATTCTTGACTTTTGGGCAAAAAGATGGATCAAAAAATGTTTTGCTGGTGGACAGCAACTGAGATATTTTTCATGGTCTGAACAAATATGAACCACATGAATTGAATAAAATAAAGAGTAAATAGGGTCCCCAAGTCCATATGAATAAAAGCATGCCAGTAAATGCTAATTTGTCCTTTTCATTTTCCTTTCTAGCTTTTTCACTTCTTGTTCAGCTTTTTGCCCTTATTGCCCCTTCACTTTTAGGGATAAATTAATATACTATTTTCTTACTCAGTCGTGCCAAATTTCGCTATCTGAAAATCAAAGTTGGGAAAATAATTCAATTCCACAGTATCATTATATTGGATCAAAGTCAGAGTTTAAATTATCACCTTTTTCATAGAATCAAAGTTGGATATTTAATCTCATTCAAATTTATGAAAATAAAACTAATAGCAAGTGGGAAAACATTGTTTTAGCTGATAGATAGTCTATACTGGATTGGAAAAGTTGATCAGATTATCAATTTGTATAGTTTGTACACTTGTTTTTAAATCTTTTTGTTGTCATATTATTTTGTAAATAATCTCTATGACAAATACTGCTACATCGAGTTTTTTTTTTTCATAATTATGGGTAAAAAAACCTATAAGCTTTCTACCATAAATCCGTCAATTTAATTTAACAGCAATCCGCTCACATCCAAACGAGTTTAGTATCTTTATTAAAAACCCGAAATAATTTTCAAATATTTTCAGTAGAACATTATTTCTTCTTTTATCTTCATCCAAAATCTTAAACATATATTTTTTGTATCAATTTAGTTGAATACAATGTTTTATCTAACTACTCAATCTTTTTCTTTTCTTTCTTTTCCTTCTACGCTTCTAACTTTGGAAAAAAGAAACATACTTGCAGTGGTTTTCATATGACACCCGAATATTTACGTGAAAAAATTTGCCTAACACGTATTTTTCCTCCAAGAATGTGAATACAATAATCATCAACTGAATATTATTCATTCAAACACTTCAAATAAGAAAAGCTGTAGACTTGCAAGTCTCTCAGAAGTCGCAACATCAAGTGGCAATTCAATTCATGAAGGCAAAATATTACCTGCAATTTTCAAGTGTTCTTTTCATTTTGTATTAGTTTCTGTAATAATAAGGCTGCAAAATCGACAATCTGCAAAATGTGAAGTTGCATTAACTTCTTTTCATTTTTTGTAGCATTAACTTGTTTTCATTTTGTATTAATTTCTGTAATAATAAAGAATTAATGTTCCCTTCAGATAAAATGCAGCATAATGTGAAAAAAAAAGGGGTGTGTCCACTTTCCCTTTAGCCTCCAAGTCCATTTAATCACACTACAATACATAATCAAACTCAACCTAACATTGGCTTTGGAAGCATAAACCAGCAATTAGTATATAATATGCATCATTTTCTAACGATTAATCGAAATCGAACGATCATGTACTCCATCGTAAAAGCATAATGATAGTTTAAGGATAACTGATATCTTCTCTCTGGCAATGTAAGTCACACATTATTAACAAAATGTAAATCACTTTCTTTATCCGTCCAAATTGCCACGGCAATCTTTTACCACAGTGGTAATTAAGCATTTGATTTGCTAAAAGTGGCCATGCAGACGAGCTTGCTTTGTATTTCAATTGTTCCTCTTTTAAGCCAAAAATTATGTGTTTGAAAAGGCATAAACAAGTGCACACAAACAATTATACTCTATAGCAGCACAATTTTCCTCTTCTTCTTCCCAAAATAAAATCATAACCAACACCTCAAAAAGATCAGAAATATCAATTATATCAAAGAAACGGCACAACCCGTATCCCCCTAAACACTCTACTACTGATTCTTGTAAAGATGGAAAAACTGTTATAAAGCTTTAATAAACTAAAAATTTAAGCATGGAGATTTGACTTAGAGTACGACTGATTAGAAGCTAAATCTAATGCTTCAAAAATTGCACCTTTATTCAGCAATATCAATCAACAACTCTGCACAACCAAAATCCCACATTTCCACTAACCCACTTTTCGAAAAACGATTAAAATCACAAACGCAAAACGTATAGAAGAAAGATCGAGCAATTTATAAAGTGCTTCAGAAAAAAATAACAAAATAACCTTCGAGTATGGAACAATGTGATTGAAATCATGGGAGAGGCAACAGGGACAACCCACGAGCTTCCTGAACACAATGTTGCCCAACGGGTCACGGCGCCACCTGTCCGGGTCGCGCCCCTTGATTTTATCCGCTTTGGCCCAGCACCGCTGCTTCACGCTGTGGGGGAAGCTCTTCGGGTTCGGGTTTTCCGGCGAAATTTGGAGGTCTGCGAATGGCGAGAGCTCGTCTGTTGAGATCTTGCGGTAGACAAGTGAGGCTGCAGAAGGCGGAGGGAAGAATGGCCTAGCCCGGCTGGGCGGGTCGGGTTGGGGTTGAGGAGGGAAGGCCTTTCTTGTTCCTACAGTTTTTTGCTCTGTTAGAGGAATTTGTACTCTTGGATAAGGTTAAAAAAAAAGGTGGATATGGGGCTTGGGCATGTAAACGAGCCTAGCAGAGCTTGAGCACTCTCGGCTAGCTAAATAAATTGGCCTGAAATCGAGTTCCAATTCAACTCGTTTATCACGAATAACGAACTGAGTTCTAACTTTAATAAGCCGATCTCGAACTTTAACGAATCGAACTATATAAAATTATATAGAAATTCTTTTTTCGAGCCTTAACGAGCCTTGTCGAACTGAACCAGATGAGCTTTAAATGAGCTCGAGTTCGGCTCGTTTAATGTAACAACGCTAATGGAGCTGGAATTTATACAAGTGGAGTAAGATTATATGTTGTATCTTTTGATTATATTTCGTGTTTCATTTCATACTTATGTACGAACGTGTAGCTATGATGATTTCATATTTGCATACGTGTCATACGTCCAATAAGTACTAAAATACGATGATCGTACAAGACTTATGATCCCATCTTATCTATGTAACTAATATGAATGAGTAGATTTAGATGGTTCAATATGGATATATGAATTAGTATATTTAGATGGTGTTTTAACTTCTTAACACGTTTAGAAGTATTATCATTAATTGAACCCAGTTGTTCGCGAATAAAGCTTGATTGGATTTGTCAAAGTTTGAGCTCGCTTTGTTTGTTTACTTAAAGGATTCGAGTTTGCACAACTAATCGACTTGGTTTATTAAACAACCCGAGCCAAATGTTCATGAACATATCGATTTTTAATTTATTTATGAATTTTAAATAAAAGTGTCAACCCAAATTTGTTTAGGAACGAATATGAACATTTTTTATTTATTTATGAATTTTAAATAAAAGAGTCGAATCAAATTTGTTCAGGAACGAATATTCCATATTCGTCGGCATCTCTTATAAAATTTTGTGTTTCTTAAACAAACCAAATCGAATTTTCACGAGCAGAGTCGGCTCACTTATTAAATGATCACAACCTAGAACATGTCTTCTTCACTCTACTCAAATAACACCTCTAGTTAAAATATCCACCCATCCATTTTTTTATTTATTAAATATAGTAAGTATTTTCTAGACATATTGTGAAAATTGGGTAACATATCAAGTATCCCTATTTTCATAGTTAGTTCATTCTTTTCAATAATCAAAACGTAAGCAACTGAAGATCATGAAATAAGAGCTTGTCAAGTTAGATAGATTTGATGGTTACAAATTACAATTTGACTTGGTGAAAGATAAGGCGAAGTATCTCTCATTGACATTGGAAATATTATTTTCTTCATCCTAGCATCATTAATAAAATTGGTATGTAAGTCATTTCCATTAGAAACTAGTCAGACTCACATATATCATTATATTGTTCGGTGTGCTTTGTAAACACTAAAACACCCTAGCTAAATTCAATATATAAAACCCCACTTCAATTTCCTCTGTACATCAAATTCTTTCTGTTCACAAATACATCCCACATATCCCAATCTCAAATACACATTAGTCATATCTTCCATTCAATTCCAAATTCCTATAATACTAATTAACAAAAAAATCATTTAAATGTCTGGATAATTGTGTTGTGCCATGGGTCAGAAATATGCTGCACCAAGTTGTCAAATGGCCCTTGTCCAGTCACATTGTGCTGCACAATAAACCCCAAGAATGCCAGCATTGCTAGTCTCCCTGTAAAATTTATATATATAAAAAAAACATTATATCACCACAAAGACATTTTTATATCACAAATTGTTGTGTGAGTCAGCTTAACTGGTCGACCCATCATATCTTTTGTAACAAAATTGCAAAATACTTATCTTATGAAATATCATAACTTTACTTCCTGCTTTATATATGTCCAATCCAAAAGTCAACCAATCGGTATTCAACACATTATAACTACGAAATTCTTCGCTTACCGTTGGCGATCTCCTTTTCCTTGGCCTCGAGAGTCGGTGTGAATTTGAGGGGATTGAAAATGCCGCCCGGATAGCCGACCTCGTTCAGGGGCAGTCTATAGCTCTTGAAAATCGGGTCTCAGTTTACGCTGCCCGGATTCTTGATGTCTTGCCACCGCCTAATCTCCACGTAGTGGAACAATATGAACTCGATCACAAACAAAGTCGATGACGAGGCAAAGTACTCGGATTTTCCAGCATCGTACCATTTGGGGACGTTAAGGATACCAGTCGATGTCAGTACCTCGGGCAAGAGCATGCCCTCCACGCCCAGCATTGCTCACCGCCCGTTGACCAGCTCAGCCTGCACGAACCACCTCAGATTCTCTGGGTCCTCTGCAAGGCCCAAAGGGTCGAACCCATTGTCTCCGGGTAGTCTGATATTAATAAGTTATGAAAAATAGTAAATAGAGACCAGGATATAAAAAATAAATCAATGTGTCACAAAAAAACTTAATTTCGAACAGAACACCAACATTCAATGTGGATAACACATTTCCATTGGAAAAATCAAATTTTGAAACAAACGTTTAAGCATTAAAAAAAAGCCATGAAAGATAGTAAATAGAGAGAAAAATAGAAAAACTAATCAACAACAACAACAACAACAACAACAACAACAACAACATACCCAGTATATTCCCAACAGGTTGGGGTCTAGGGGGGTCAGTTGTACGCAGACCTTACCCTTGTAATTATACAAGGAGACTGTTTCTATAGCGACCCAAGGTGCATTGCGCCGTTTGATATATTTTTTTTTCTAAAAACTTCACTAATAGAAGAAGCACTAGAATTTAATTGAGCCATTTTGATCTAGTCCATTATTAGCACTATGCCAGGAGAATTTTCAACAATGACTCTTCCAGCTCCATTTGCAATGGACAAAAAATAGAAAAACTAATCAGTGTCTGAAAAACTTGGTTCAAGTACAACACCAACATTTGAATTTGATAAACATTACCATTGCAAAAATCAAGTTTTGAAACAATAGTTAAATTATTAATTAACAATTTCGAAGATGAATCAAATTCGATTTAGTTTATTATCATATGAAACGATTATGCATAATGGCGAAACAGTTTCGAAGATGAATCCAATTGAATTTAGTTTATTATCATATTAGATGTTTATGCATAATGCCTTTACAGTTTCGAAGAGGAATCAAATTGAATTTAGTTTATTATCATATGAGACATTTGTGCATAATGCATATACAATTTCGAAGAGGAATCAAATTGAATTAAATTTATTATCATTATGAGACGATTATGCATAATGGCGATACAATTTCGAAGAGGAATCAAATTTAATTTAGTTTATTATCATATGAGACGACCCTGCTGTTGAGATAGGTGGGGGAGGCAAGCCTCGATAGCCATTCGCCTTTCTTGGCCTCGACCTTAAACGATTTGTAAGAAGAAACGGGTTGCCTAATCGAGACTTCCCGGTTCAATTTTCCCGATAAGAATCCGATCCTTGTGTAGTGATTGCCGCCATTNCTCTAGAAAATTTGTGAGAGGTCAGCGAAGATTTTGGTGAGCTATTGAAATAAAAATCTTTTTGTGTGTGTGCATTTGTTTTTCCTTTCAATGGTGTGTTTGTGGCGCTGGTTGAAGGATCAATTGTTACGGTTGATATGGGAGATTTTATGTCATCCAATGGTTGTGATTTGATTTTCTGGATTTTGGAACAGCCAATTGAAATCGAGGGCTCTTTATCTTTATCCACGTTGGCATATCCACAAATCTACTACTACTTTGCTGCCGACGCCGTTGGCCTTTTCAGATCGTGTGGAGCCCTCTTAGGTCCAACGTGGCTTTGTGGATAGCTCGAGGGTCTAATCTTGCCTATGTGGCAAGTAAATAAATCCAAGTCTTAGATGACATGAATAAAACTATATAAAATTAATAAAATTTACTCTACTTAGGTCTAAAATAGACTTAAAGGGGGACCGTGTCTCTTTTTTCTGGTTGCCACATTAGCAGGACTCAGTCAACTTTTATTTACATTGGAGAATATATTTTTTTAAACTTGGTCTATTTCTTATGTTGCATATAATTTTTTGGGATTGAATGAAAGCATTGTGGATCTCTTAGGTTCAAAAAATACAGTCACTATTCTAGAGGGTTATCTTTGTCATTCAATAAATTTCTGAAACCCTAGCCATGAACCTTCCACATTCTTCAAAACTGAACTAATCTGTGGCCGCCCCCAACAACCTTATAACTCAGACATGACTTTCTTAAACAATTACACACTTTCGTTGCCTTCTTTGCATCTTCACCGTGTTAGAATTCTTTATTCTTTCATCTGCTTGTTCCTTGTCATTTGGAGCAACTTATTGATGTTTTTTAGCTGATATTCCGCAAACTGTCTTGCTAAAAATTGTTGTTAGCCATCAGGAATAGTTTGTTTTTGTTTAGCTGTTATTACTCTAAATAATAACTTGATGGGTTTTCTCCGGATGTGATGAATCTGAATCTTAGTGTGTCTATTTTGATACAGTGAATTGGAAAAATCTGTGCTTTGACTTAAGTAATGGGTTTTCTTGCAATTTGCTTCTGCCAGTGATGGTGTTAAATATACTTTGAGTGTTTTCACTATGAAAAGCATAGCATCTGAGGCTTAGGCAATTGATTTTTGTTTTACCTTTTGATTCTATTTTTTGTTATTTGATTTGCTTTTCCTATCCTGTAATGAAATAGGTGTGTTGTACTATGTATTTGGCAAATGATGATAAAATAGACAGGGACATCAGAGCTCCTCTGGGAGAAAAAGATGACTTAGTCTAATGGGAATCTCTCTGATGCTAATTTTCAGATTAATGTTTGAACGTGTGCTTGTTTTTTACTTGTTATGTGGGGTTATTCAAGTATTTATGTAGCTTTATTGTGTCAAATTAATGTGCTTACATAGTTGAGATCAAAATTAAGCATCTTTTTATGTTGAAATTTCAGAAAATACATTCTTTTCACTTTATCTTTGCAAAAATGCAACCTTTCGATTGTAATACCATTTGTTGTGTGTTGTTACAGTCATGGAAGAGAGACAGTTCCCGCATTGTGTTGCTCAAAATTTTTGTTTGCCATTAGGAATAGTTTATTGAGTTGTTAACTTGCTAAAATAACTCGTGGGTTTTCTCCTGTTGTGATGAACCTGAATGCCAATGTGTGGCTTGAATATCTTGCATTTTCTCAGTGAATGTGTGCACAAACTTGTGTTTGACTAAAGCAATGGGTTTTTTTGCAATTTGCTTCTGCCTATGATGGTGTTAAATATACTTTGAGTGTTTCACTATGAAAAGCATATCATCTGAGGCTTTGAGGCAATTGATATGTTGGTTTGCTTTTGATTCTATGTTTTGCTAAATTGTTACTTGATTTGGTTTTCCTATTTTATCTTATAATGAAATGGGTTTGTTTCAGTTTGTATTTGGCAAATGATGATAAAACAGACAGGGACATCAGAGCTCCTCTTAGAGAGAATGATGACTTAGTCTAATAGGAATCTCTCTGATGCTAATTTTTAAATTAAAGCTTGAACTTGTGCTTGTTTTTTGATGTGTTATGTGTTGTTATTCAAGTGTTGTAGTTTTGTTTTTGTCAAATTAGTGGTATTTACAGAGTTGATAGGAAAATTAAGCATATTTTTGTATAGACATTTTAAAAAAAATACATCTTTTCAATTTTCTCTTTGCAAAAATGCCACCTTTTGATTACAATTCAATTGGTTGTGTGTTGTTTTAGTCTGGATAACTGTCAATAACAGCATTGTGTTGCCTGTGATGCATATTATTGCACTTATTATCAGAAATAAGTGTGATGATACATGATTGTCACTACCTCTGAGGCAAATCTTCCAATGCTGGAAAATTTAAATGATTTGATTGTATTTTTACCCCATTACAGTGTCCATTAATTGGAAAATTAAATTGTTAAGCTCAGGTTGAACTTTCAGTATCCAATTTGTGTATTCTTTTGCATTATTCTTCTTTATACGTGTACAAGTACATCACATTTTTTTTGTGTGTATTTAGATGAGTTCCTATTTTGTGTATTAGTGTTTCTTGTGTGTCCCAGTGCCTGATGATTACGTAAAAAGAACGGAGATTTGAAGGTTGCTCTTTGTTGAAGCCTGGTTTAATCACATTGGCTCCAAAAAGCGTTTATGTAATGAACTCTTTCTTGTGTACATGAAGGCAGGGACCCCCCTTTTAACTATTTTCCTTTTTTCCAACATTCCTTTTTTCTGACAATCCTTTGTGATTAGGGTTGTAACTAAATTGAACTGGATTGAACACAATATTGTTCAAGAGCATATTTGATCTAGTTTTTATTTATTTATTTATTTATTTATTTATTTATTTATGTTAGGGGAGACTTAGAGGTACAATATTTATTTATTTGCACACAATATTTATTTATTTGATCCAATATTGGGTTTATGTATAGGAGAGATTTAGAGGCACCATCGAGAAGGTAGAAACATTAGATTTAAGAACTCAAATTAAAAAGGAGAATGATAGATCTAAGAAACTTGAAAGGAGACAATAAAAATGTTTTAAAATATTTAACTTTAAATGAGGATATGTGCTTTGATCGAGCATGATGGCAATATGTGATCAATATAGTTGACTTCACTTATTGGGATTTTAATGGTTTGTTGATTGATTAATTGATGCAAGGGGAGCTTGAATGAGTTTTAACTGAGTTAAACACAAATCAAGTTTGAGTAGTCTTGGTTTGACTTGTGCTTTGAATTTAATCAAATATAAAAGTGTGTTCAGTTTTGTTTTGAGAAACTTTGATGAAACTGGAGTGGAGTTCAAATTGCGGTTTTTATTTGTACTAGTACGTAGCTCGTGCGATGCACGAGATAATAATTATAATTGAATATATTAAAGCAATGAACCAATATTAATCAGTATAAAAATAATTTTGAATAATAATAATTATTTATTATTTTATTGATTGATATATAATAATTTAATATTTGATTTATATGCTTATTTCACTCGCTCTAAAACAATTGTCATTTTATAAAATGAAAGGTGAGAATATCTTGATCTATATATAAATTGAAATATAAATGCAATACCTATCAGTGATGGGCATGTGATTTGAAACATTTGATGAACTGGTCGGCCTGACACCTTATTAAATGATAGTTTTGAACCATTTGATACCATCAGAAGGAAGCAAACTACGTACTAATTAAATGATAGTTTTCTATGCGTAAAAAAGAAAAACAAAAAGAAAAAGAAAATTGGTGGTCCTG